GCTTCACAACAACTTCGTGACTGTTCTTGAATGGCCCAGCCAGAGCCCTGACTTAAACCCCATTGAGCATCTCTGGAGAGACCTGAAAATGGCTGTCCACCAACGTTTACCATCCAACCTGACAGCACTGGAGAGGATCTGCAAGGAGGAATGGCAGAGGATCCCCAAATGCAGGTGTGAAAACTTGTTGCATCATTCCCAAAAAGACTCATGGCTGTATTAGCTCAAAAGGGTGCTTCTACTAAATACTGAGCAAAGGGGCTGAATACTTATGACCATGTGATATTTCAGTTTTTCTTTTTTAATAAATCTGCAAAAATGTCAAAAATTCTGTGTTTTTCTGTCAATATGGGGTGCTGTGTGTACATTAATGAGGAAAAAAATGAACTTAAATGATTTTAGCACATGGCTGCAATATAACAGAGTGAAAAATTTAAGGGGGTCTGAATACTTTCCGTACCCACTGTATAAAAGAAGCTAACTTTTTTTGGTTTTTGTTGTATGCTTAAAATGACCACAAGTCACAGACATGCACATTCCAGTTGGTTTAGAATAAGATGACACTTGAATGGACAACAGAATAATGGTAGTCACCCTGATCCTCAAAACATAGTGAGGAAAAAACAAAAGTGCAAAAAAAAATCACAATCAGCCTGGTTTCCCTTATTCTCTTTCCTCTGCCCTCCTTTTAGAGAAATGTTCCTGTCTGCTCCTCTAGTCTTCAGACAGTCCAGAAAGGTCTGCAGCTTCTTCAGTTGTGACTCCAGTTACTCTGCTAAACCTACTTGTTGCCCTTGTGAGTATCCGATTTAAGAGCAAATGTCCATGAAATTCTTCATACGTTTTAGCAGTGAAGCATGTCTTTTTGTGTGATGTGTTTCAGTGGGTAACGTTTAAATTGTACTGTTGCCCATGGAACAGACTGATGCAGTCTGACACCATTTAATTCATAGAATACTGCCTCTTTTCATATTCATATTGTGAGCAATTAGCTGCATGACAAAGACATCACCTGCACAGTGCAGAAAATATACT